GACTCGTCATTTTTCTCGCGGACAATGAATTCGAACAATGAGTCGAAACGTAATAATTAGGACGATCAATTATGCCTCGTGTCCATCCATCACTTCCTGTGATTTACGAGGAAAGAAAATATAATAACCCGGATTCGATTATACGTTGAAAATTGCCACTCGTGTTTGCTTACATTGTTGAGGTTAAATATCCTCGAAAAGATTAGAAAATTCTTAGATCGAGGCGTGATTAAACGTCAACACCCAGAAAAAACGTTTGCGTTTGAGCGGTCTCCGTGAGAAAAACCATTTATCAGATTACATAAAAATGTTTTGAGAACGTTATACGAATATCGTCGAATTTTATTGACGGATTACGATGAAATATAATATTTAACTTTTCTTAATCGAGAGTAATTAACAATATTATAACAAAAAATAAAGATAAAATAAAGTAATAATAAATGTAACATGTTTGCTTGATAATGACACAATTATACTTGATAAGATGAAAAGAAAATAATTGACGTAGGTAGCGCGATATCGTCCCGTATTATTGATTGTCAGAACGATAATGCCTAAGTGTATAATTCAAACGATGTCGATTCCATCGATTTTCCAATTTCGAATTCTCCATTCAATGTTTCAAGATTGTGAATCAAGAACAAAGTTTTACATACACCAGGTAATTTAAATGTATATATAAAAGAAGTAGTATAAAAAGTTTCAAGTAACTATTTCAAGTAACTTTGATTAACAAATTTCCAAATTTTACAGAAAATTAATTCTTTTTCGAGAAGAAATCACAGATCTTCACGAATTATAATTCACAATCTACTAAAATCTTGAAATAGCCAACTTTTAATTTTCCAAAAATTTATCAAAAATATCTCACCCAATTTCGAGAGATCGACCCAAAATTTTATTCATGGATGGAGAATCTGCGTGCACGCAACACCGTCATCATCCTCGTCGGGAATTGTCGATATCTGCGTTCGGACACGAGTTAATCCTTACGTTGCACCGCGGCACGTCATTGCGCGTTACTGCGCCATCACGTTACACTTGGCCGTCGTCCAAATGCACAGGGGACCGATAGGGGAAACGCCGAGGGCCAGAAAAGTTCGACTTTCCTCCCTGATTTACATCTTTCCCCCAAAGTCGATCGTGCCTCGCCCCTCGAGAATTCAAATTCTCGCTTATTCGTTCGTCGAGGCGCAACGCATGCATCTCCTCGTTCTTCTCTTGGACCACTACTTGTCATGGTTTCAGTTTCCTCTTGCGAACGCTACTTCGTTGAAATTGTTTCAACAATTCGTTTCTTTCGTCCGCGATTAACGTATCACGGACAATTAATTTGTCACCGATGGAACAGCTGCTGCTGGATTATTTGTGCAAAACTGGAGGAAATCAGCGCGGATCTGTTCGATCGATCGATCGATGTCTGCCTGGATTTATAATATAATTGCCTGCCACCTCGTTAATTTTAAATCCTCGCGAAATTTGTACAAAGAAACGTTGGATTATTGCGTAACTTGCGCGTTATCGGATTTCGTTTGTCGAATTCGATCTGCTAACGAGTCGCAATTAAATTTTACTTAAAGGGTCGTTTTTCGACCAATTCTTTTTTTTTTTTTTTTTTTTTTAACGAGTCTTTTACTTTTTTGACGTAATAGTAAACTCTTCGATTCTTAATTCCGTAATGGAACATTGATGGCCTTTTATATAATAATTTTCTTAAACACGAAGAAAACAAAATTAATTCGAATAATTGTATCTAGTAGAAAAGTAGAAAATTATCGACGAATTTTTTTCCGAATATTAATCCCCTTACAGAAAACAAAATTTTTAACATTCTCACGATTCCTTCGTTTCTTTTTTTAGAACAATAAAACACCCAGAACAAATTCTTCAAAATTATACATCTTATTACGAAAAAAAAGAAGAAGAAGAAGAAGAAGAAGAAGAGAAGCACAAACACACAAAAGAAAAAAAAGTATATTTTTGCACGTACCGTGGTAGAAATTTGATCAATAAAATTCATCCGGATCTATTCGAAGCAAAAATTGTTGGCGGATGGTGACGGAATCGATGCTCGAACACCTGACGCTGGACGACAGTTGCGTCGAGAGGCGATCATCAACGATCGTTACCTCATTCCATGTGTCAACACATCCCGCGAATGGGATTCGTTGTTTTCATTCATTTCGCGGATAGAGATAATCGAGCGTGTGTGATCGCAATGGTCAATCTTTCTCCCGTATCTTTCTCGGGAAATCTTTCGCTTCTTGATCACCTCTCACCTCTCTCCTATCCTCTCCTATCGATTCGTGTATAATGGATTTATTTATACGATTAAATAATGCTCTCTGTATAGAGTGTAGAGGAGAGGAGAGAGAGAGAGAGATTTGCACAGCTGTCGCGAGATTCGCGACAGTCGATCGATGTTTCGAATAATTAAGACGATATCGAATCGAAGAGCGCGATGCTTTTATCGCGCAGAACTTTAATTAATCAATTTCAGTTAATGGAAATTTTGGAAATATGTATGATGCAGGCTGATCGAGAAGTTATAAATCTTTATTAGTTAATGAGAGAAATTCTGATTTGTAACGATGGTGATATCTTGTATGTAGGTTTTCAGTTTTGTTACATTTCTAAAGTGTAGAAAAAAGTTATCTAATTAATTTCTTTATTACAGTTCATATTTATAGTTCACGATAAAAAATCGTAACAATGATTTCTAGTAACAATGATAGTATCTCGATAGATTAGATTGGATGGATTTATATTATATTTATTTATATTTCATTCCTTTTTTAATGTTTTCTGGAACGAATAAGCTTCAAAATATATTTTATTCCTTTCTCCTTCCAGCTTTTTGTTGGGATCTCTGGGTGGTAATTTATAACATCTCGTGTTTTATAGCGGAATACGGCAAAGTCTAGTCTTAGGAGGATCACAAGGCGACATTAAAGTTTGAAAACTGATTATTCAATAGCTAGATCGGCAAATATTTGTCTCGAAAATCGAGACATAGAGATAGCAAGACAAAATTTCTAATCACGTGCTCTTATTTATCTTTTTTCTCAAACCACGTGCTTGAAATCATACAATTTACATCTCTCTCTTCTTTTTTTTTTTCTTTCTTTCTTTCTTTCTCTTTTCGAAATCCGGAATCACGTGTAAAGTGAACGACGTAGAATTCTGTGGTAATATTTACTTCAATGTACGCATAACATTTTTGAATATGTTTGGAGCCGCCTTGAATTTCCATTTGCTATTTAAAATTAATGGACCATTGTTGATCTTTTAGATCAGGTGACAAGACCTTTGGAAAAATAAGACACGCCTGAGAGGAGGTGTCCATGTTTGAAAAATACCGTGTATGTAAAATGTAATACATATAATCGATACATTCTTTATCACGATTAAGATTGTTGAAAGGAAAATTATTAAGAGCAGATAAGAGAAAACGATTTATATAATAAAATTGTAGATCGATAATCTAGATTTTTATTTTTACGATCGTAAAAATTCATTTATTGAGATCACGTTATTTTTTTTCATTTACATTGTTGTCTTTTGTCAATTTATCTACCACATTACATTTTTATTACGTTCATGTAATCTTTTATAAATTTGTAGTGTCGTAAAATGTTGAAAATTAAAATTCTTTATGACATTGTCATAAACTAAACTTCAACTGAATACTATAAATTTTCTTTCTCTGTTCTACGTTGTATGCTTTTATGCATCATTATTTATGCAATCGAATATTTTACTTTTCAATATTTACTTACTTCACGTATTTCGATAGTTACATAAACCAAACATCTCCCCTTTAAAAACCATTACCATTTCTATCGCGCATCGCATCTCATAGATATAGGATAAAAAATTAAAAATTTAACAATTCCAGCTCTGAATAAGAAAAAATCCTGGATCCTTATGATGAAAAAGGCGATTAAATCGCGAAGAAAAAATCGAAAATATAAGTATTGCCAAATTTTTAACTTGAAATTATTACGAATATACGACACTATAAAGATTAAAAGATTATGCTAGTTTAAAAAAAAAAAAATCACGAACCAAAGATAAAAAGGCTACAAAAGCACGAGCTAGCATTAAAAAAAAAAAAAAAAAAAAAGAAGTTTCACTGCGTAATTAAAAAGGATTATGCATTAGTTCCATCGAAAATTCCCCCTATTCTTGATGGCGCCACACTTTGGGCAAGGTCGCGACGTGGAAGGAGAAATGGCCGCCAGTGGAAAGTTCCCGCGCGGGCCAGACGTATTAGCGGTTTAATATTATGCAAGTTTGACGTGTTATGCTATACACGGTGTGTTTGAACCTGATTTATCCATCGACAAACACCCGTAACGTTGATTCATGATACCGTCAACAATTAATTCTCAGAGGCGGCAATAAATTTTCTCGTGCAAACACACAACGATAGTACGAACGAAGTGAAATAAAACTGATACTTCGAAACGACGACGAAACTTTCACCATCCTCCGTATATATATATATATATATCTCTTCTGCGTTTCTATCTATCTTTTTCGCGTGAATTTCTGCAAACAGTGTCAAAAGTGCAAACTGGCTTGCGAAAGGAACAGCAACCGATGCTTGCCAAGGAAATAATAGTCTTTTCCATGCTTGTAATCGGTTTTATAACTCTACTGAAAATTCCTGTTTCTCGCGGAAATTTCGTTTCGTTTCCAATGGAGGGAACAGAGAAGAAGAAATCGATCGATGTGATATGTTAATCGAACGAACTGTTTTCGTGTTTTTTTTTTACTGTTGTTTCTTTTATTATTATTATTATTATTATTATTATTATTATTATTATTATTATTTGTTTTTTTTTCTTCCCCTTTNAGAAGAAATCGATCAATGTGATATGTTAATCGAACGAACTCTTTTCGTGTTTTTTTTTTATTGTTGTTTCTTTTATTATTATTATTATTATTATTATTATTTCTTTTTTTCTAATCTTCTTCCCCTTTTTTTTCAGGTAGTCGAAAAGCAGATTTATTCGAAAGCAACGATGCGACGTCGTTTCGTCGGTTCGTTTGAAATTCCTCTTACGTTTGCTCCAAAGAGAGTTGAACTTCTTCCACTGTGATTTTCTTTTAGTCCTCAGTAGCCTGTTAAACCGAGGTACAGTACTTATCCTTATCGGACGAGTGGTAGAAGGGTAATTTCACTACAGATATATATGTATATCTGATTTAACGTTCCAATGCCGTGGATGTCTTACTTTTCAAAAAAAATTATGATACTTTTCTTCTCGTGTAAATATTTTGAAACAGCTTCGATCTTATAATTCTCTATTTACCTTGCGGCTATGAGAATAAACTATAATATCTCCAAAAGAACAACGAGAATATAAATTTTAAATTCTCATATACAGGGTATTAATGTATTCGCGAGATATTTTTGGATTAAATCGATTGTAGAGAATAAACGTATTTATTAATTCGAGTTGATAAAATCGTCTCTTGCTTCGCCCAGTGTGAACTTAATTACTTTTACGAATTTAACGAATAAATCTCAATCGTAATTTTTATATATTAATTCCTTCATATTATGTAATTGCATAATAATATTACAATTTTCGAATTTAGATTTCATAATGACACGAATTTACGAGAAGAATCGAACGTATTCTTAATCTTCGAGTAAAAAAGAAAATGAAATCACATATATTCACTCTGATTCCAACATCGCGCATCAACACGATCACATTAATCAATGAACAATATCAAGGATTACGTGGACGTTTCACAGGCAGAGAATAATGAACGAGCCATTAATAAGGAACTGGATAAATAACACGGGATTCCCCGATTCTAAATCCGCCGATGTTGCCTGAGAGTTCCCAAAGTGGATTCGCCATTAGCAACCGGTTAGTTGCCGGGCTAACGAGTGGCAAAACGTGTGTGTACACATACGTTTCGTATTTGCGGATTTCGTGGAAGTTGCAGGCGATTTAATTACGGCCATACGGGACCCATTAAATTTCGAGTCGCTCGGTTATCTTAATTACTCTTCGATCGTGGTAGACGAAGAAGGTGAATTTTGAACGCGAAAAATGTAGAATCGCGTTAGAATTCTGTCTATCGGAACTCTATTGCGATACGAGATGGCCAATTTTATATTTTACAATTTCGTAGAATCGAGCGATCGAATCTATTTGTCGGGCGTTAATCAATTCGAAGAATGCGAAATAAACGGAGAAATTATTAAATAGCATTTCGATCAAATTGCTCGAAACAATTTTTAATCTCTTGCTTTTCGATATACGGAAAATTTTATCGAATTTTTCTCGACCAAGATTAATAAATTACTCCCGATAAAGCTACAAATACCCTCGTCGTTCCTATATAGCAACGCATGACGGCGCAAAACGAAATTTTTGCGTGTAAAAATTTGACTTGATTGGAAACGAGAAATTTTAAGTCGAAAATTTAAATAAACGAATCGAATTCGAAATCGAATTATTATACATATGTATCATCGAAGCGAAAAGAATATAGATCGAGGGAGCGATATATCGAAATTTAATAAATAAATATTATTACGAGAATAAAAGCCAAAATCGAAGTATAGTAACAGAAAGAGGAAAGAACCGTAAGAAATCTCGAATCTTGCTCTCTCTTATTCCGCTGAGACTTTTCGTCGAGCGGGAACTACGCCATTATTAAAGGATGGCGTACAACAACCTGCTACTTCCACCGAAATCGGTGGCCGTAATCCTCCGAAAGGGGGGGTTAAAGGGAGGAAGAAAAATCTGATGGATCAACGAACGAAACAAATGGTCAGGTTGAAGGCCGTGGAACCATCGCAATTTTCGCGAAAATTCGCGTTGGAAGGATGTGCGGAGCTCGTTATCTCTCGCGAGAGGGGGCGAGGGGCGGGTTAGAAGATGGAAGGAAGGATGCGGAGGAGGCTCCGACGGATGCTCGAGCGACGTGTTTCAACGCGATTCTCTCCTTGCGAGATCCTTCTCGAAGAGCATTTTTCTGCATTACACAGTTATTTCGGGAGTAAATCGTCCGGATTGATAAAAATGGGCCGCGGCTTGTACACGCCGAGCACTCGAGCCGCCTTCAACCCGACCGCGGAAAAATATAAAAATGGCGAAACTGGACTGGATGAAATACGTTTCGGTGATGATGATCCCTCCCGATTTATATCGGTTTTGCTTCATAACTCGACGAACGCATCAGAATTTTTCTTCTTCTTCTTCTTCTTTTTCTTCTTCTTTTTCTAAGTTTAAATTCGGAAGTTGGAAATGGTAAATCAATTTTATTTTTAGATTAGAATTATATATACAGACACGTACTAGGTTAAGACTATTATTACAATGGATTATGAAATATTGAAAATCTGTCGCAACAAATATAAAATATCTTTGATATTGCAATGAATTTTTAATATTCTTTTTTTTTTTTACCACAGGTCATAATTTTTTCATAGATACATCAAAATAAATTTTTATAAAAATAACTGATCTCTTGGAAATCGCGATTGAACGCCGAATAAATTTGAGTAAACAAATAAATAACACATTTACAGTGTTCAAAAGGAATGAAGAAAATGAAAAAAGAAAAGAAAAACAAATGTATCAAAATAATTCACAGAAATTCGATTCTTCAATTTTCGATCAATTCCGTAATCACAATTACGCTCGGGAAAAAAAAGAACAATCCATATTTTTACCTCGAAATAATTATCACAGCCACAAAGATGAAACACACCAATGACGTAATCCGCAATTGGCAGCCGTTCGGCAAACAACGCGGTCTTGTTTTCTTTCTTCTTTTTTTTTTTTTTCCTCCGGTTGTTATTAGCAAGGAACAATGGTTAATTATCGTTCGAGATGGAAGCTTCTTACGTCTCGATCGACGCGTACGTATCCACCTTCTCGATGGGAACGGGGGATTTCTAAATTGGACCAAGGGGGCCCACAGTCCATTCGGATATATATCGAATGGTCGAAAGTTTCCAAGGCTTTCGTTTAACGTGCTAATTCCGGCCGGGAATTGTTTGAACTGGATCTTTAAGGCGGCCGATTCATCTGCATTTCAGATAGGGAACACTTGAACGAATATTAAAACGGTTCGTCGTTTTATTGCGAGCGATATTCATACTCTCTGTATTTCACGTGTATGTTAACGTGATAAATAAATCGCGTGCATGTGATAGATTAAATGTAAATATCTCGGTATGGATATGTGTATGAAAGATAATCTATGTCTGTTCACAGTGTGGATAGAAAATATTGAGTTTTATTTAAGTAATAAATAGTCGAATTCTTGAATTCTTTAGAAGAGAAGAAATGTACAGAAAAAAAAAAAGAAAGAGTATATTAGATAAACGTTCGTTTCGAGAAACATAGATTATTAAAAACGATGGATATATTAATTATTATATTAATTATAATAACAATTGGAGAGAAAAGAAATGCATGAAACGGTGGAGATATTTCAACGTTTCTCGATATATTGAAATTTGGACCATTGGAGATATTAGCTCCGTAATTGTTGATTGATCTTCAATATTTTCGTGAAGGGGGATAAAGTCGAGGAAAATTGGTCGAATAGCGGTAGAATCTCGCAAAGGGATCAAAGTGAAACGATCCGTTCCGTTGAAGAAAGCAATCTCGACTTCTTTCCGTCACCTTACGTAACGATTACATGGTAATGGCGCGTTCACCGAAACCCATCTGCTAACTCTATCAAAGGATCAAAAATCGGTCAGGCAAGTCTCTTTTAACCCTGCCCTTTTCTTCCATTTCCTAAATATTATAAAATCAACTTTTACTATTATTACTCGGAACTCGAAACGAATCGAAACAGAAATATATATATATAGAGAGAGATAACAAACAGGATTAATTCTCGTGTATATTCTGCGCGTATTTAATTTAAATCTCGATGATTCAATAATTATTTGAATACGAATAAATACAAATACGAATGAATAATGATTAGAATAAAATTTACAATCAAATATATTTAATAAAAAAAAAAAAAACAATTGTAACACGATGAAACGTGAAACGAAAAGAATATTTAATCAATTCAATTATTTTTTACCATTAGATATCGATGATATATAATGAATTGCATTATCGATAAAAATATTTACTTTACCTTCGGTGCGAAGTAAATAAAATTTAATAAATTAATTTAATGCACGTCACCGCCGGCTCAATTATGATTTATAAATTTTATTTCGTTTGATAAATAAATAAATATATTTTTCGCTTTATTTTTTAATCGAATTAAACATATTGAATTAAAAATAAACCCGATTCTCAACCGTGTTAATATGATATTTAATAGAATTATTTTCTAATTTACTGTTTAAACGTGGTGGAAAAAGTCCATGTATTTACACGAATCTTCTCCTCTTTATCACTTGTCATTTCATCACGCTCCTCCTTCAAAATTTCAAAACTTTCGAAAACAAATCGAACAATCGTGAACACACACGGTTTCAAAAGTTGACTATAAAAAGAGAAGGTAGCTCTTTCCTAGACGAGCCACCTTCAAAAACGTGGAAACGAAAAACGTTATCGCGTGAGCACGAAGCTCACGAACCCCTCCCCCTCCATCAGGACGGATCGAACGTTGCACGCGGCATTAACCCCGAAATTAGCGAGGTTCCACATGAAATAGCCAGCCCTGTGGCCAGATCTAATCAGACACGGACGGAGAAGCTCGGTGCACCGATGCTATAATTTTCGGAGAAGCGTGAGATAAGTCGTGGGCCGAGCTTTATCGGCGAATCGAGCCACGAATTCGCGATTCCCGAATCCGAAATTTCGGATCTCGTTCCAGTTTTTTCTCGAGATCGATTAATTCCCCCCTTCCTCCTTTCTTTTCGAATCCTTTCGAGACGATTTATGTCGTATCGAATCGCTTTTATGCAATAACAATACGAAAGTTGAGTTAATTAATAAGCAAGAAGATCGAGTCCAATTTACAAATTTCAAAGGAATGTAACGCGTTTCAGGTGTGCGTTTTAGATAGGTGTCTTGTGACAAGCGTATTAGCGCGTCACAAGTGCGTTGATTAATTTTTCTTGTCTGAATTTTTTAAAAATTCAATGTCATTTAATATGATAAAAATGAGTTTCGTATATTTCTTTTTTTTTTTTTTTTTTACAATTACGCACGAAAGTTTTGGAGAGAATTAATATATCGTATTTTGTATCGAGAGATACATAATTACGCGCAACCTTATTCATTCTCCTCGTATCATTTACAATATAATTATTCATACGTTAAACATTTCGTTTTATCGAGGAAAGAAAAAAAGATTAAATACCTGTCGGCGTACGTTCGTTTCAGTGGTGCTGAAAATTTCTCATTCCAAATAAAAAAAAAAGTACCTCACTGAAAGATCATATTCAAAGTACCTCTTCTCGATATTTTTCACCGTTAACTGTCTCCCGATGCATCTCTCGTGCACGTCGCCTCCCCCTCGAGAGCTCTTAGAGTGCTCGATTCCGACGTCCTTGAGCGTGCAATATCACGACGGTGCTGGCCACGAGATGGTGGCCAGCCACACGGATATTGGACGCAAGGATCGAAAGGTTGGAGCGCAAAAACTAGGAAATTACATGAATTGGATTGCCGACTGGAACACGTTTAAATGGAACAGATTGTGACAGATATTGTTGGCAATGTTACAAATTTCGGATACGGGGTCGGAATTAATCAAATCTGTTTCTGCGAAGTCGAGGAAATGTTTGGAAAAAAAAAAAAAAATGTTCGAGCGTTCAATTAACCGTGAAACACAAACGTGACTATCCGTTGCTCGATATTCACCGGTTTAATCTTCGAAAGAATTAAACTTTCGTATTAACGTTGAAAAGTTTCTGAAAACACGGTGAAAATCGGTGTAAAATCTTGCGCAAAACGAAAACTTCCCTTTATGTAATTGAGCTACTTTCTTCCAGAAGCGAAGTTTTCGCGTGTAAGCTGTTTGGATAAAATCCTTTCGGATCGCAGAGCAATTTATCGGGAATTAAAAGACACGATATCAATGATATTCTTGATATTTTCTTTCTTCTTCTTCTTCTTCTTCTTTCAGTCGTCGATTATTCTTGTGCACGGCAAAGCAGGAAGAAGAATTTAGAAATCACAATCAAATTTCAATACTCGTTATCTTTTTTTTTTTTTATATTTTTGATATTTTCTTTCTTCTTCTTCTTCTTCTTCTTCTTCTTCTTCTTCTTCTTTCAGTCGTCGATTATTCTTGTGCACGGCAAAGCAGGAAGAAGAATTTAGAAATCACAATCAAATTTCAATACTCGTTATCTTTTTTTTTTTTTTTATATTTTTGATATTTTCTTTCTTCTTCTTCTTCTTCTTCTTCTTTCAGTCGTCGATTATTCTTGTGCACGGCAAAGCAGGAAGAAGAATTTAGAAATCACAATCAAATTTCAATACTCGTTATTTTTTTTTTTTTTTATCTTCAACGAACGACTCGAGATTAAATATTAATTGCAATTGATTTGGTGTCTCGAAAAACATCGAATAGAATAACATTCGAAATTCCTTCCAATTTCTCATAAAACTAATATCTTATAGTGATATTGACCGAAAATTTTCTCGCATAATTACCCTTGTCGCGACGTCGTTTCCAAGCCACCAGTCACTCTGATTAATGAACGAAACAGGAGTCGAGCGATTGTTTCCAAGTTTCTGAAAGCTGACACGTTATCGCCCAAGTTTTCGCGAGGTGACACACCGCAAACCCTGGTCACGTTCAGATATCTATCCAGAGATTGATAAAACCCTCAATTCGGACCCAGAATTGGACCCGTTAATCAAATTCGAAAAGTAAGTTTCTCTTGTTACTCGAACAAGAGTACCTCTTTCTTTCTTTCTTTTTCTTTTTTATCCACGAATAACAAATTTATCCGAGAATAACGCATTGCTTCTCGCGAATGCACACAGAGTGGACACAGGAGGCTGTAAAATATACGCTTTTACACAAGTTAAATCTCGTTACACCCTGCTCGTCAGCGGCCATTCAACGGTTGACGCCTCGTCACCAACTTCCTTTTTCACCAACCCACGTTTTCGCACCTCGTGCGAGAATCTCATCTGTATCGAGGAACGATCGATATTCGAAGCAACAATTATTCACCGATATGAATTGATTAAGAAAGTATTCCTTTCTTTTCGTAAAAATCCTTTAAGAAATTTTTATATATCCTGAAGAAATTCAGGATGGATTTGGACAGGATTCAGGACAGGATGATATAAGGATCAATATTCCAGTGATTTTTTTAAAGAGAAGATTCAAATTACCTTTGCAGACTAATGCGATTCTACATCTTAATCCTTTACAGAAATTACGTGTCACATGCTTGAGACCAGATTGTGAACTGTTTGTCAAGTAGACTCACTTCGAATC